ATTTATTTTTGGTTTAATATTATAAATTTTATAAAGATAATAATTAAGTATTCTGTTAGAATTTAATGATTATACTACTTATATTTTAGATTTTTTATATTTAAAATGAGATGTTTATCATGTATTTGATTGTGTTTATTTGCAGTTAGTTACACGAATTCATATATGGGATGAAATCGGTTAGGGATGAACGGGTTTAAGAGTTTTTAAGATTTTTAAGAGTTTTAAGAATTTTTAAGAGTTTTAGCCAAATGTTTTATAAGATAGTATAGATATGCATCAATAAACAGTATTTCATGCATAAAATGGTTTTTAAAAGTTTTTATCAAATATTTGATAACCAAAGTAACAATAACAATGATAGTGTGAAGTAGTATCGTAAATGAGCTCATATGATGGAAAAATCAAAATGTATTAATTGTCATTTGCATAACCATATGGATTTATTGTTGAACTATGCAACTTGCATTATAATTTGACTTCAAGGTTCTCAAAACAAACAATATTAGGGGTCGTTTACCAAACACTTATCCGATAGGTGCTTACCGGTAAAATTTAACACTGTTATTTACTTACCCGGTAAGATTTTTGTCCACCAAAACAACATTATATGCAACAATTTACCTTGATAAGCGCTTACTGTGGTAAGAGTCGTCGCTTTCACTTACTGGATAAGACTCTTGATCTTTCTCTCGCTCTTACCGGGTAAGAATTTTGGTCTTTACTATATTCATCCGGTAAGATAATGTTAATTGGTAATCGCTTACCCAGGTAAGCGTTTGGTAAACGACCCTTTAGTTAATATTAATGATCAATGATACCATTACTACCAAGTAACAAAAATACAAATTTTAATCCTATGAACTTAATTAAAAAATGTTGGGTTCATTAAATAATTTTTTAATAAAATTAAAAAAAAATATTGTAAGACAAACATAAATTATATGTATTGATGTATTTATGTTGTGTAAATAAAAATAATATAAAGTAATAAAGAAAATGAGAGGTTAAACCGAAAAGTTTTTTAATTATAAGAAATTTAAAATTATAAGAAAATAGAAAAGGTGAATGGAGACTTCTGATTATGTCACCTAAGCAACTCCACAATTTGTATTGATAACTTATAAAATTACAAATTAAGAAACACATAAAAGATAGAGAAAAGAATTTCAACAAAAAGAGTCTACCTGAACTGGATGTAAACCAAATCTCCGATTCCCTAACCCCTCCACCACCTGATGATTACGTGTATTCCTTCAACATAATATAGCAGAGTCAACTTAGAGATGGGATTGAAAACGAAAATGATCCTAACCCTAACACAATATGAAAACAATCCTAATCCTAACCCTAACACAAAATGGAAGATGGGAAGGAAGATCACTGCAATATAGGAACGATGGATCGTTTCAATTGAGTGGAATAAGAACCCTAACTTGAAGAAATCAATGAAAGCTTGAATCAGTAATCAATGAAAGCCTGAATCGTCATCTTGAAAGAAATCAATTTTGGGGAGGGGAGTCGAGATTGTGTCAGAGATGAAGAGGCAAAGATGAATGTTGGAAACAAAGCGTCAACAACAAAAAAAAAAATCATGAGTTGTACATGATGCATACCACATTGTAAGAATTTTTAGGAGATTTAAGACTTTTTAGGGTTTATGCATAACTTTGTAGTACTCTACGCATCAAGATTTGTTTTTAAGACTTTTAAATTTTCATGCATAAAAAATAGTA